CTACACCAGCTCTTTGCTTTAACCCTGGTTAAGCTCTCAAATGTACAGTGAAATCATGCTTTTGATTTGCAGCACTGAATCCTGTCCCTATAGAGCATGGGGGGGGGGGGAGAGAAATTAGCAAGGCCTGCTTGTCACCTTGCAAACAGAAAAGCTGGAGAGGAAAGGAGACAGTCAACCACAACCGGTGGCTTAGATACTCAGAAGGAATGCTAAGCCACGTAAACATTTTGTGTGCATTGGATCCAGGAGTCAAAGACTTTGTTTGGGCCATCTAGTGATCCTTTCTATGGTAAACCATGACGGTGATGATGGTATGATGCAGTTCAATATCTTTCACTTTTATTGTGATGTAATTTATTTTTGATGTTACCAGGATATCTTGCTACATTGTTGTTTCATTAGTATTTGAGTAGTGGCTATGGTGTGTTTTATGGTTGCTTTGTTATTTTTAATGGATTTGAACCAGTTTCTTTTGTGTAAGCCATCTCCTGGACTGTCTCAGTTGAAAGGCCAGTGACAGACATCATAAATAAATGCCTGCCATTCCAGAATGGGCAAGCCATTACACAAATTCCATGCAACCCACTCCAGCCCTTGCAGCATTTCGATATGCACTCCACAGTCTTTTGGCATTCTTTCTGAAGATGCCTTTAAAGGAAACAAGGTTTTGAGGGCAATGCTTCTGAACTTCTAAAAGAAGGGAGGAAACCTTGCTGTTGGGATGCATCAGCCTGAATTGTTGGAGGACAAGGCAAGAGCCATGGTTTGGCAAAGCACATCAAATGGTTCTTTGAAACAGAAACGGAAGATTGCCACCCTTGAAGGTGTGGGTCTTGAGCCCAATCTTATACTTGTCTGCTCAGAAGGACATCCCACAGAATTCAAGGGGCCTTCATCATTAGTAAGCAACAGTTAGAACTGCAATACAAAGAGCACAAAACCTGTCTTCTTGAACCACTGGAAAAGAACACAATCGATGCACACACGGACCTTGACAGGCATGGCAGCTGAGCACACTAAGGACACCCGTGCCCTACAGCAGGAAGGATGAAATCTGGCAGCAGCATGTGAAAGGGGAGGTTGTGCAACAGCCTGGAGCAACAACAACAACAAAAAGACTTCAAAATAATCCAGAGGGAGGCAGGCTTAGGTATCCCAGCACTAAAAATCCCCGCAAAGATCAGAACCACTGAATGCCAAACTGTGTGTAATGTATCCATCTCCGACCACGTGCGAGGCTAGGTCTCCACATGGTCTAGCGAAGTGCCCAAGCTTCGCTTCCAGAGACAATGGCCCAAGTGGATCTCAGTACTTTTCATAGTGACTAGGATGCAAAGAACCTTATGGTATCATGCATGCTTCCACACATACCTGGGTGATTAATAGCAACCCTGGAATCACTGGAAGCTGTCATATTGAGGTCCTAAGATTCAGAGGGGTAGGGGGACTGAAAAGCCTTTGTGCAGGTGTTAAAAGCTGCATATGGGGCTCTGGATCCTGGTCAGCATTTTTATAGCAAAAATAGCAAAACACTGGCTTGGCATGAACCCAACTATTCAGTTCCTCCATTAAAATGGCATGTCTATTTGCAGAAGGGGCAGAGATTCCAGCTGATTTCTCCCCACAAACACACCCTCCACACATTGTCTTCTACTGTGCTGTTTCTGAGAGCTTGCTGGATCCCAGGAACTGGGAAGTCCTACTCTGTTGAGTCCACGGATGGTCAGATACATGCCAGTCGGGTGGATCCAACCATCCTCCAAGAAACCTTAACTTAAGTGTCTCTTCCTCCAATGGAGGAAAGCTTCAAACCTGAGCTGAAAGGAAAGGTGGGGTATAAATATTTTAATTAAGAAATAAACTTTGCTCAATGGAGTAGCAGGGTATGTGAGGGCTGCACCCCAGTATTGTTCTAGGTAAGAACACTGCAGAGGAGCTAAGTTATATTCTGCACACCACCAAGTATATGGATAGTACAGAAATCAACTTGAACACACAGCAGAAGTCTCCCTGGGCCTGGCTGCCATAGCAAATGCTGCTCAGAACGCACCCATGTCTTGCATGTGTCAAGGAATCTCCTATTGTGCTGACGTCTGCTCTACAAAACCTGAACTTTATTTATCAGATGTTTATTCTGCATGCCTAGCTGCCTGTATACAATGAAAGGTTTCCCCACAAGCCGCCTTTACCTAAGTGAACAAAAACCTACCAGTATGGGCCTCTACACAAAGAGCAGACCATTCAGAAGCCCCATTTTTGCCTATAATAGCATTAGACAATGCACATCTGAGATTGCAAGACCCAGCACATTCTTACAAAAAGCAACCCTGCTTGTTGCAGTGGGGTGGGCGCCATCGTGAAAGCATGCCAAGGACAAGATTGCTCACCAAGAATATTTAAAAAAAAATTGTTCTTGCTGTTGTTGTTCACACAATATTCAACAAAGCTGAAATGAACACTGAGAAGGAAACTCAAAATATATATATATATATCCCCCCCATATACAGTTTTGTTGCAGCCCTCATAGACATTCACATCGGTCAAGTATTTAATGCAAATCAATCAACCATTTATCTCCAAAATCAAGGCAATTTGTCAAAAATGTTTCAAAAGCACAAGTACAGGACAGAATTTGAAAACTGAAAGATCCTTGTTTCAGTTATGTGCTTAGATGGGTAGCCGTGACAATCCTTGTACAGCACCACCCCAAGCAGAGGTATGCTCTTTGGAGTTCATTGACTTCAATGGACTTAGAAGGGTACAGCTCTGTTTACGATTGTACTGTTAATGAACTTATTGTTATTTAGCTTATTTATCAGTCACCTTTCTCACTGAGACTCAATGTGAATTACAGAGTATGGGAAGAGAAAAAAATGTGATCATACAGATAGGATCAAATTATTTTGTTTATTTGTCCTGATTTAGCATAATAATAGGTACAAGGGTACAATACAGTGTGAGACAATGAAGTCCATATGCTGGAGAGTGTTAAGAGTCTGTACACAAGATAGTATGCTTGATGAGCCATACGTTGCTCATTCTTTCTCTCCCCCTGCCTTGTAAGGGTGCTGCATTTAGGAGAACTATGAAGTACAGTAATCTATACATTGATAATTCTTTAGGCCTACCCTCCACTTCAGTGAATATCTAAGGCTGTTCATTAGTAACAGCAGCAAGATTAATACGTTAACTAAAAGGATCACCCCTCAATTGCCCATCTAAATGCAGAGTGAAAATGAGCATCACCTACTTTTTAAATTGTAACTTGTATTTTGTCATACTTAAAAAAAATCTTATGAGCTGTCTTGGGTGAAATCATGTTTACAAAGAAAGATATCATACATTTTGATACCATACATTTAACATCCATGGGTACCCCTGCGAGGATCCAAAAATAGACACAGAAGGGGCCGCCCAGAAGTAAGGGAGAGGTTTCTGCAAACCCCTGGGTAGCCCCAGGGCAGCAGGAAAAAATAACAATAAAAAATTGAGGGGAGAAGGTAAAAGCACCAAAATGTAAACAGGGATGGTTCCACAAACACAAATGGGGGGGGTTGTTTCAGATTATCTTGAATGGATGAGACGCTCAATGAGAAAGTCTTGGCAGTAGCCACCAAGAACGGTCAGGCAAGCAGACTACTACTGGACAGCGGAGAGAGGAAAACAGAGTCAGGTGAGCGGGCAGAAGGAGAAAATACCAGATAGGTGGCTGAGTGTGTGGTAGGGAACTGGATGACTGGACTGGAAGGCAAGCTGCCAGGAAAGGGAAAACCAGGCAGGCAGGTGAGTGAGGGGATACAACCACAAAATGTAGTAAGCGATGTGAGTGGCCACAGGTCAGACGAATCAGGTGGGCAGGCAGGCAAGAGAGATTGACTTGGGGGGGCAGAGCCACAGCGGGGGTGGGGGGAGGAAGTGATTTCCCTTCTCCGGAAAGTCTTCACAGGTCCTGATCTTGTGACTAGTTAAAGCGGTTTCTGGCATTCTTTCCCAGCCTCTTCACATTTCATCACACTTTAGTGTGACCAGGAAACAAAATTAAGAATGATGCCATGAGGAAAGAGCCACCAATGGCATACAGTCATCTTAGTCTTTCCCCATGCCATTGTGAGCTTCTTTGTTTTGTCATGTAAGTGGATTGCTGTATTAAATTTTTACCCCACCCTTCCTCCAAAGAGTTCAGGGGGGTGGCCATTCATGCTTGTCTCCATTTTATCCATACAACCACCCTGCAAAGTAGGTTAGGCTGCAACAGAGGGACTAGCTTGTCCAAGTGGGACCATTGGAACCGGGTCCTAGTCTAACACTCTAACCATGACACTGGCTCTTATTTCTATTCATCCCTATACTTCACTCATCTGAGGGGATTGTGTTCAGGACAAAATCTCCCTCTGCCCAACACTTTTGGCCCTGGCCACCTCTCAAAGGGATCCTGCCCAGATGAAATGAGGAAGACAGGAAACGCTGGCTTTCTCCTCTCCTGAAATCTCTGCCATATATAAGCTCTCCCCATACAAATCCCAATAGCTGCTTCAACCAAATAAATATATTTCAACTTCAACTGCTTATAGGCATACAATCAACACATGCATATAGAGCTAGATTAAAATTTAACAAATAGTTGAAGGACTCAATGAAGAAGAAAAAAATTGCTGACAGAATAAAACATCTGCATTAATACCAAGGAGCACATCCTTGAATTTGCATGATTGAGTCTGTATCTGGCACAGGGTACTCCTGGAGTGTTTTCACACACAACATTAAAAGTAGCTTTTACTTTTTCCACATCTGATTCAAAGGCAAAATCAACACTGGCCTGAATGTATCTACATTTTAAAAAATGGTCTCTATCCTGCATAAACACAGATAAAGAATCCCAGTCAATTAAATGCATGCTTAGCTGTACCCTTTGATGCAATGTCTGCAGGCAGCAGGGCCTGTAATTTGAGCAGGGCAGTTGCCACCTGCTTGCCTCGCAGAGGGACGTGGGAACTCACCCAGAAGAGCAGATTAAGGGCATAGAGCAGGCAGCGCAAACACTTCACCGAGTCCTCTCTGGCCATTGTGAGAGCCACTTGGGAGAAAGCCCCATCCTCAGCCTTGCTACGTCCTCTTACTCGAGCCTCCGAACAGCCAAATACAAGCAATCTGCAAAAAGAAGGGGGGGTGGGACATCCTTTTCTTCAAACCAAAGCACGTCATGCAAAGTCATGTCCATTGGCATCCAGTCACACAGCCTGTCGAGATGGCACCTTTCTAATCCAAGTTAATCACCCCTCCCAAAAAAAAAAGATCCTGGTTCTCTGTCCCACAAAGTAATTAACACTGAGCTGAACCACAGGGTGTCCTTTGGAAGGGTAGGAAAAGTTGATCCTGTTATTACACATTAACCACAGGGCCACAGGATGGTTAATGTGACACGTTAACAAATCTGTGCTCAGTGATCCCGACACAATGCGCGCCCCGGATGACACGTTTGGGATCGGAGTGTTACTTTGTGCTCAGCTCCTTCTCGGCGGTGGGGGGTGACGATCGCGCCTCCCGCTTTCCAAAGTGTGTGTGTGTGGGGGGGGGAGATACGATCCCTTCTAACTTGGAGCTGTCGAGCTGCACAACGAAAAGTCAAGAGGAGCGTGCCTGAGAGTCAATATTGGGGAGGGGGGGTGTTAGTCACTAAGAAATGACAGGCAAGAAGCCCCCGAGAGGGAGGCTACTGCCGTGGCAGCGCAGTGAACGCAGCGAAAGAGTTATTAATTCTCCCCCCCAAAAAAAAATAAAACAAAACCATGCTACTTTGGGCAAATGAATTAACTTCGAGACAGCTCAAGTTCCGCCTCCTCTGCCCCGCGGGAATGTATATTCCCTCCCTGTCCTCGGAGCGTGCCTCAAAACCCAGCCCCTATTCCGTTGCCTAAGAAAGAAGCCCGAAACTGAAAGGGAGGGGAGAGGGGAAAAGTCTAAGGACTTACCATGCTTACCGCGTGGGCTGCAAAACAGTCCCGCTCTCCCCCTTCCCTGCTCAATTGCTCCCACTGGGCTGATCCGGAGCAGAAAGAGCTCCGTCGGAGCCGGGGAAC